TCAAGCTAAGGAAACAAAGGTGCCGACAAAGAATACATTAGATTGTTTTCATTTGCTAACAGAGTAGTAGACGGTTGGAACAAGCTAATTGAGGAGGAGATGCAGGCGATGAGCCACAATAACGTGGCTGAAGAATTTTGACCAGACCACACACTAGAAGGTGAAGGGACGACGACGTTTCGGTCCGTCCTGGACCATTCTCAAGTTGAGGAGATGAAGGCCAAAACTGTCAGTAGTTTCAAAGCGTCATACGACAAAAGTGTGATGGGAAGATGGGACATTACGAGTGTAGCTCTCATCCTGTAAGTACACTTAGGCAATTATATAAACACAATCTAGAGCCAATGCTTAATCCTGCAGGCACAAACGAGCATATTATCCATCCAAGTCTCCAATATACTGTAATATGTACTGGTATTCTTATAGTATCAATTAATACATACCATTATAAAATAATTTAATAATATATATCATTAATGCTGTCATAATGAGGAAAAATCATAAGCATTCCATCTTATATATTAATATAAGCCCGAAACGCATTGCGTAATAGTGGCTTTAGGCATTGTATGTACTAGCTCTATCCATATATTGATCCATTAATGTAACATCACTTGTATGTATGTACCTTTCCTGAATAAACATATTTATTTATTATTTATATATAATTTTGCCAAGTCCAATGGTTTCAACTTCTGTTGAAGTGCCAGATTGAAAAACTTTTATACACACTTCTCTTATGTACAGTAATAATTACCATCACTTAAATACAATTTTGAAATTTGGGGCATTTCTTTTAAAATAAAAATGAAAAATAGTTACTGATTTTTTATTAAAACTTGCTTCTTAATTATAATGCTTATTTACAACAATTATAAAATCAATGTAAATGTTAACCTGAAAATATACAGTATACAGTATTACAATGATGGCATATGACACACATACAGTACACTGTATTTTTAATAAATATTCATTATGTTCTCTGGCTGTTACATAGAATGAAGTAAATCTTTCTTTTCATATTATTTTTTAAAATACTGTAATTTAAAAAATCATACGTCTCAATTTACACGTGAATCAATATAAAATGCAGTTACATGAAGCATGCACCTGCATGTAAATAAATTTGCAAACTCAGTTTTTAAATAGAACAATCCACAACAAAGACAAACTTGCCTACTCTCCAAGAACTCTGTCCGGATACTTCTTATAGATGGAGATTGTTGTCAGGAAATAAATACAGTAGAATAATTTCTGCAAACTAGTTGTGGAATAGAAAATAATCAGCATAATGAATCTTGTGCATAACCTCTTCCTCTTAGCACAAGAAACACAATATCTGTGGGAAGATGCTGCTGTGCAAGTAACAAATGACCATACAGTACATGAGGAGATACACAACATGTAAGCGCCCGAGAGTAAGAGCTAAGAAAGTGTATACATAATGCTGATGCCTTATTCCTTCCTGGGAATGTCCAAAAATAGTGTGGCCATTGCAGCAGCTTCTCCCAAGAGTTCTATCACTCCAAAAATCTTTCACACACTTTTGCCCATTCCCCCTCCCTTTCTTTCATACATTGTTCTGTACTCCCCATCCAAAATACCGATTCTCTCACTCTACAATATGATCCCCTTATTTCACCCTAATATTCCCTTCTCATTAAATGGTGCTCAGGTATTCTACTTGCATAGCCCTATTACCTAAGTGTACTGCACTTTACCCACTGCATCATTTAATATTTCATTCCTTCATCCCTTTCCCCCTCAAAACAGATTTCTCATATGCCTTACCATTGCTATATCTATTGCACACACTTAGATGCTTTTCTACAAAAAAAAACAAACAAAAAAACAAAAAAAAAACAGTATCCATTGTTTGCACTCGCATTCTTTCTTGTTATCTTGTTCCTGTAGCAACTCTTCCTCCTGCAACCATCTGACATACTATATCCAACATTATGTCCAGCACAGTTCCTCCATACCTTAACATACAGTTGTTCCATCTATACCAGGAGCCTTTCTCTTCTTTAATCTACTGATAGCATCTCTGATTTCTGTGGTATCCATCTTTCATTTTTTACTGGTCTTCTTGTAATGCCTTTGCTCATTCCAAAACATGTTATTATTGCCTTTTTTTTACCATTTGTAACCAATAAGACTAAAATATTCACTCCACCCATTATCTGTTGAACAAAGTCCAGCCTGGCCATTGGCCGCCAGGATTGGAGAGTAGAACTCCTGGAACCCTCTCCAAGTAATGGTATCCTCATGCATATCTGTCAATAAAGTCCCCTCAACATCCTTCACAATTTACTTACACCTTTCCTCAACCATGACAACCTTACAAAGTATTTTTTACAAAGTCTTCACTCATCTTCTAAACTACTCATCACTTATCTTTTTTTTTTCATCCCTAATCAATAATTTTTCTCACAACCTTTGTTACATTTATTACATCACATTTTTATTTTCGGTGTCCAACATTCTTACATTCAGACTCTCTCGTAGGAAAAGCCACCTCCCACTTACCATAACTTTGCACACTTTTAAATAAAAATCAGACTATAAACCTTCCTCTTACAACCCTTGTATCTTTCACATCAGTTAGGCATATCAATGTCCCCCCTTAGATCAACGACTGACCTTCCCTAGGATGCAGCCCACAACAGTTGCTTAACTCCAAGGTGCATGTTTACTGCTAGATGAATAGAGGACTTAGGGCATGTTTCCTTTCACCTAATACAGTGGAACCTCGGTTTTCGTATACCCGTTTTTGTATTTTTCAGTACTCGAACTCAATTTCTTCAAATTTTTTTATTCGTTACTCGTTGTTGGCCTCGGTTTTCGGAGTTTGTTAATACATGTACAGGTCCACTGCGAGCGTGGCGCTTCAGTTTACCAGTGTCTCCCGCCTAGTGATGATTGCGCTTGAATTCTTTGTGAAGAATTTCATTGTTTTTTTTGTGCTATTTTGGTTTCTGAACATAAGTTTTTATTATATATCATACTATGGGTTCCAAGAAGGTCAGTGGTAATGTTCAACTTAAGAAAATAGTTGTGAGGATGATGATAGAGAAAAAACAATAGATCATTCATAGTGAGACAATGTGATGTCTCACTACAGACAAGTATTAAAACAAGGGAAAAAAGTGTGTATAGACAGATTCTTAGTAAGACAAGAATGCAGTGAGCCACAACCAGGTCCTAATGGTATGGCTGCAAAATGTAAGAGAGAGAGTACACTTAGCTGAAATAGAGGAGCCCACAAGAGAGGAGACTCCCCCCACTACAGGAGTCAGGAGACTCCCAACCACATAAGTGTAAGAACTGACTACTCATACCATGGAACGTGAGAAGCCCCTTTCCCCCAACTAAGTGGGAAAGGCAGCTTGAACGAGCTCACACTAGTTTCGAGAGATTCAATCGTCTGTTTATGTTCATTAGTTCATTAGGAGGAGTTCATTAGGCAGGTTTTGAGTCTAGTCTTTTTTGAGGGGAAAGAATTATCAGGGAAAGCGCCAAGCTACTGTGACTATGTAGCACTTGGAAGGGGTCAGAATAAGCATTTGGAATGGAACGGGAGGAAGGAATGGTGCCCAATCACTTGGCTGGTCGGAGATTGAACGTCGTCCTGCACGAACCGAGACCATCACTCTACCGTCCACCCCACAGTCTCTTTTGAACCTAGCAGTGGTTTCTTTTGGCTTTTTACTTTTTGGATGCCTTCCCTAGTGAAGTGGGGAAGTAAGTAATTATCAAAAGAAGGCACCAAACCGGGAAGGCTATGTAGCACTGTTACGGCCCTCTCGGGACGCAACGGGGTTCTTACTCTGATGTAGTTAGAGGAAGATATATATCCGGCCCCAAGCCAGTAGAGGCTATCAAGGGATGCGATCCGTGACGCAAGTAACTTAAAGGGAGTAGGGAAAAAAAGGTAAGAACTTAATATAATATATTGACCACCACCAATAAATAAATATTATATAAAAGGAGTACACAGGGGGAGGGGTATTAACACTTTGCAAGGGGATTATTCACTGTAGTCTTCTGCTGAAGACTCTGGTGCCACACCACTTTCGGTGCCGATTCCTTGGTGCTTTCTTCGTGGCCTCAAGACGTGTCCTCGGAGAACGCCGAGCCTACCCTGGCCACAGGTCAGCCACAACACAGGTCCACTGGGGGCACCGTCGTGGAGGCCGTCAACCACACGTCCAGCAGGTCTGCTGGCAGGTACTGAGCCACCAAGGCTGGTACGGCCACTCCACGAACGATATAAGGGGTACGCCCTAGACAGGAGTCTCGTGTGATATCACCAATCACCCTCCTGTCCTCAATACCCCAGTGGATTATCGTCTCCGACCGTCGGTCCCGGGTAAATCCTTCCACTGCCACTCCACTGGCAGGCTTAACACACCACAGTGTTCTTCCGGGGGGACGACGTCACGACAGCTGCAGCAAACTTCACTGTATGGAGACTGGCTGCCTCGGGTAGACTGACTTCACCTTCAACACAGTGGTCCCAGGTCGGCTCTGTAAGCAGACACGTCATCAATAACTGGGACACTAATACATCACACTCACAGGCTCAGATACTAACACCTGACGTATCCACTCCGTAGATGGCGCTGTCGTCGGAGCACCACCTCACCAGAGGTCAGGAGCGGCGGTGTTGAGCGCTGAACCAGACGGGAAACTGGTCCTCGAGGCCAGTACACGCTGTCCTCACTAGGTGTCGTCGTTCGTTTGGCGGGGGTTTCGGGAGCTGACCCACAGATGGCGTGTTTGTCACTGCTCCAGGCTCGGACGTTGAATCCGGGTTCGTAACAAGCACCATCAAATGTGCAGAATAATCAGAGGGTGCTAAATATTACCAAGGATGCCAATACGAGTGAGGTGGGGGAAATGTCACCACTCCCTGTGCCTCTGTTAGGGGGGGTCAGGTTCAGGCTCTGGCCCCTGGTAGGCCTAAGAACTCCACGGTTGAGGCAACCTGATAGATAGGAACCATCTCAACGTATAGCTTCAGAGAGCCACAAGGGATATCCCCCCCCCCCAAGAAAATTCAAGTAAAATAATAAATGTGTCGGTTTTAAATGTAAAGTTTCCATTTACAATGCATATTAATTAACTTGGTTACATTACAGACAAGATCAAGAGACTGTTAGTAACTGTCCTTCGAGAAATAAAAGTTCATAAATTATTCATAAACAGACTACCCTTCACAATCATGTGTGTTCAGTGCTACATGGTGAATATCAGCCCCAAGGAGGAGAGCTGCATTAGCAGGACCCTCAAGAAGTGCTGAATAAACTAAAGCAGCACGAGAAGCAGGCTCGCCAGGAGTCTTAAGAGCTTTGGAAAGAATAGCTGCTAATAAGAGTTGAGACTGTGCGGGTCGAGACAAGAATATTCGGACAGCAGCCGTAACTAAATCAGCATGGATGGCTTTAGATGAAGATGACAGTGATGACATACGTTGAAGAATATCTGGGGCAGAGTCCAAATATAGAGCTAATCTGCCAAGAACACGAAGGACTAAGGAGGGAGCCATTTCTTGAACAGTGCCTCTAGACAAGGCTCTAGTTACAGCTTTTGTGAGGTCTTGTGGTAATTCTGGCAGGGGTTTTGATGTTTCAGATTTAGGGGTGTCTGTAGATGTGGATGGAAGAGGCACAGACTCATCAGTATGCTCAAGTGTGTCAGCATCTCCTACAGATAATTGTGATGATAATGCAAGTTCTTTGGAAATGCAAACAGACTTATTTTCCATTGGTAGAGAATTAAAAACCTTCAGAAGACATTCTAAAGCAGCTATAACTACTCTTTCTGTTGGTGCATCCAATAATGTTATCAGTATTGATACACACAGTTCACAAGCAGCAGGACTAACTTGGGCCAATGCTCCCAAACATGTAACTGCACTTCGAAAACTTTGATAATCACTACAATATGGCTTTACCTCCTCTATAAGGCAACAAACATTACATTCTGTGCTTACAAGCGGAAGCACTTCAAGCTTCCGAGTCTTCAAATAGCCCGGATCTTTTGCTCGCACTAAAAAGTATTTGTAATGGGAGCTAAATATTTTTTGTATATCTCCCAGAGTACTAAGGAACTCCAACATGAAATAAGAAATCTCAGGAACATTTTGGCTGAGTATCTTACACACAGAAGGTTGTATCATTTCAAGCATATCTTTCTTCAGATGAGGATGATCTTGTGTCCAGTGAAGAAATAATTTTACAGTAGCTATAAGAACTGCCGAGGCCTTGGAGAGAAAAAGTTCATCCAAACCATTTAAGAGTAGAATTAGCTCCTCCTCAGATTTAGGTGCGTACCTGGAAAAATAAAGATTTATGTTTAAGTATTTTCTAAAATAAACTTAATATACCTGTATTGTATTAATGAACTTTCAGTATTCAATGACAGTTGCCCTGTACTGTACTCAGAAATATCTACATATGATAAACGTCAGAATGCCTTGAATACATACAAATTGCTTGTTCATATGCATTAACAAAATGTACCAGCTCAGGCAATATGATATTACTATTATATCTATTATATTTAAGAAAATGCAGTAGTCTGTATCGTCCTAAATTTAATAGTAATATTACATTTGATATTGCATAACAGTCTGTAATTTCTCTAAGTCCTGATTTATAGAAAAAGATAAAAGTAGAGTTAAAATGTGGATATAAACTTAAAACAATGATACACAGACCAACCTGAGAAGGAGTGTGAGCACATAAACAGCATTACATTCTGAGAACTGCATGATTCTTCCCAAGAGGTAGTGTGCGATATTCTTATTGACCACCACTCCACCCTCCTTTTGCAGGATGTGATCAAGGGCAAGAATGCAATTGGTAATGACAATGGGGTCCGAGTCTCGTAATCCCTCATAGAGCGAATCCACTAAACCACAGTAAAGTACAGACTGGGAAGCATGAGAATACAGTCTAACACAGGCCACTGCACCTGCTCGACGCACCTGTGGGTTAAATTAAAGCATCAGTTGTCAATATGAGCTCATCCTAAATATCTGCCATTACTTCAGATCCTCTGTTTCAGCTTCATCAGGAAGAATAAGCAGTACTTGTGAATGATTGTCCTACTATGGAAAACTTATGCTGTTAAAATACATATTTTAAGCCATATTTTTTACTGTTGATTCCTAATGCAAATTTCATTGCAATTACATAATATCCTTCTCCATACCAACACCTATTTTATGTGGCTTGAGAATTTAGTTAGCTTAATTTTTGCCAAACAATTAGTTGCAGATATAAAAGAAAGTAAATTTTAAACACAGTACAGTATGTAGCAGAATAATTTCAGGATATTATAAGTTGAAGATGTGCTTGAAAGTACAATCACAGTCAAACTTATACCAAACTGGTGGAAAAGAATCCACATAAAGTTGAAGCAGTTAGCATTTCCCGACACTAAAACACTTCCATTGTGTGGAGACAAAAAAAAATTTTTCTTAACATTTTAAACTCTAGGTAATGAATGCAATGGGTAAAAAGTCATATTTCATTATGGATGTCAAGTTGATAATGCACGTAGTTAATGGGAAATAATGAAATTCTATACGGTACATACAACTGCTGATTGGTCAGAGAGCGCTGAGGTAACTGCACGGACAGAACTCTCCTCTAGCCCTGGCAGAGCTGCCAGGGCAGAAATACTGGCACTTCGTACACTAGGATTGGCATCACTGGCATCTCTCAATAGCAGGTTGGCAGTCAAAAGGGCTAGGTCAGAATTGGTGCTACATCTGAAAATAATGTTATATTAAAAAGTGTAAAATGTGCTACTGTAATGAACAATTAAATGATAACTTTTTAGTTCTACATTCTAATACTTGACCTAGGTATGGATTTTGAAGAAATTCTGGCAATTATAAATGTTTGAAAACATTAAATAAGCAAAATAGACCTTTAAAGAAAGGCAGCATTAGTAAACTGGCAATAATTTTGTAATATGTCTAATACTTTGAACCAAATAATATAGAGTAAATTGATATGCTGAAGAATGGGAAAGAAAGAATCAGCTCACATAATATAGAGCACATTATCCATGGAAGCACACCATCTCTTCATCGAACTGGATGTGTAATGCTCCTCATTAAGTGTCATTTGCAAACATGTATCTAACACACACTGTATGCACTGCTACCTGGACATGTTACTGTACCTACCATTCCTGGTGACTCTTTTCCACTTCCTTACACCTTCACCATATCTACACATCATCTATCCTTCCTCTCCTCCTCCTACCCTCAAATTCACTTGAAAATAATCACTTCACTTGTTCATCAACATTACAAAAACAGTTCAGTACTGTACACTCTCTTTAATCTTGCAATTTACCAATACTTTCAATCGTTATCTTTTCATGATATTTTAATTCTTTATTTGATCCACTCTCCTAAAACTACACATTATTCTCAGAGTACCTTTCCTACTGCTCTATCACCTAATTTATCGTGCTCATGCCACACTAGCACCTCACCTCTGTACATAAGAGTAGACATTAAAACTCCTTTCTGCAGTTATCTGCACTAACCTCTTCATATCCTCATTACAGTGGAACCTCGACTTACAAATTACAAATTTTTTTTTAGTTATGACCCCAATTTTGTCAAAAAATTTGACTTGACTTATGACCTTTACCTCGATTTGCGACTTTGTTGATAAACATACGGGTTGAAGAAGTGCGCGGTTCCTGGTGGCACGGGTGACCCCGCTTCAGTTTACCGGACAGCCCACTTTAATGACGATTGCACTTGAATTCTTTGCAAAGAATTTCATTGTTTTGTGCTTTTTGTTTTTTGAACATGAAAGTAATAATTATATATCACGCCATGGGTCCCAAGAAAGTCAGTGGCTTACCACTGACTGTTTAGCTTAAGAAAACACAAATTGTGGCCTGAATGTATTGCAGGATGAGATTTGAGGGATTTCAGCCTGAACCTTAAGTGCCTCTTGTTGAGGAAATTGTTTCTTTGGGCTGGCAATTGGGCTTGAAGTTGGATGGTGCTGATGCGGAAGAGTTGGTGAAGGAACACAGCGAAGAACTGACCACCGAAGTACTCTAGCCCTTCACAAAGGGCAGCAACAAGAGGCAGCTGAGAAAATTTCTTCATGGCAGGAGGAGGCAGTACAGAATGTCCCTTCCTCAATGCTTAAGAAGTGGCATGCAGTATGGGAAGAAATGCAAAGTATTGTTGAAATGACTTGCCCAAATCAAGCTGCAGTAGGCCGTTGCTTTAACCTTTTCAATGACAATGTGATGCCTCACTACAGACAAATGTTAAAATGTAGGGAAACACAAGTCTCTATGGAAAGGTTCTTAGTGAGAAACACAAGCAGTGAGTCACAACCTGGGGGTAGTCTCTACCCCCAGGTAGACTACCTGATTAGATTACGTAATTTAATCTAATTTCTAATTAGATTAAATTACCTAGTTACACTTAGGTAATTACAACCAGGTCCTAATGGTATGTAGGCAAAATGTAGGAGAGACACCACCCTCAGAGAAGTCATCACTGCCTGATGTTATAATGGAAGGGGACTCCCCTTCCAAACAGTAACACCTCTCCCCCCACCCACCCCCTGCCTCCTCACCATCTTCCAGATGCCAACAAGAGTCATCAATAAAGGTAAGCTATAACTTGTACCTACACGCATATTTTGTACTATAGTATTATGTATGAAATGCATTTTGAAGTTAATATTTTTGGGAGTGTGGAACGGATTATTTCAATTTACATTATTTCTTATGGGAAAATGTGTTTCGAGTTACGACCTGTCTCTGGGAACGGATTAAATTCGTAAACAGAGGCACCACTGTATCTTATTACACTTCTCCTCAGATGTAATAACCCAATTTTCATTGCATTTCTCTTAATTTTTTAAAACTGTTGCTTACCCATCCCATGAAAATAGATTGAGAATGGAAGTGATGATAATGATTATCTTATTACACTTTCCATCTCTTATAGATAATTAGCTCTATATAGTAGTACAAAGCAAAGAAATATGACTGCTACTAAATTACTTACTTATTAGTAATGTGGTAGCAAGTTAATTTTTTGGCCAAAGTGTCGTGGGATGCCAGTAGCTGAACAATATCACTGGTTGGCAAGTCAGTGCCTTCCACCATCTGAAATGATGCCAATTCAGAATTAAATTTCAGTACTGTACAGTAATATTACATTACAGGACATGATTGATTGGTTCCATATACAAATGGGACCAAACTAGGACCTGACTGCTGCATTAAATTTCATCCACCTCTGTCTCTTTATCCAAGTTAGCTCATACACACACACACACACACACACACACACACTCATAGGGAAATCATGGAAGGGAGACGAACTCTGACTGCCAAACGCAGGACATTCACAACTGGAACAAACGCAGAGGATGGGATGGAACAGGAAGCCTGGATGAAGGAAGTACTCCAGCAAATGCAGAATGAATTCAGTGAAGGACTGAGGGTAATGAGGGAGACAGTAGCCAACCTGCAAGATGCTTTAAGGGCAGCAAAGGAGGAGATAAGATACCTAAAGGAGACTCTTCCACAATACCAGGCACAAACCGTACCCCAGGGAGATGGGAATGCTACTGTGGAGGGGACCACCACAACCCAGATCTCATTTGCTGAAATGCTTAAAAAGAGCCCTGAAGCTAGGTCTGCGGTTAAGGAAGTTGCCATGGAAGTGGCTTCCTCTCAGGAAGCAGCTAGATGTACTAGCCGGCTGATAGAGAGAAATAGAGCAATAGTAGTAGCAGGCATTAAAGAACAAACAGGGACCAGACCAAAGGAGCGGAGAGACAAGGACAAAAACATGATTAAAGAGATCCTTAAAGAGGTAAGGATGGAGGGAGCTGAGCGAAATGTTGAAAAGGTTTTCAGGCTTGGAAAGTACAACAAGGACAGAGACCGAATGATAAAGGTGGTTTTCATGAGCGAAATCGCGAAAGAGGAACTGCTAGCAAGGAAGTGTTGTCTAAAAGGTGTAGAGAAGTTCAAGAAAATATTCCTGCAGAGGGATATGACAAGGGAAGAGAGAATACGGACAGCAGACGCGAGGAAGGAGCGCAGGGAGAGAGAAGGAAATCAGAGTACCACAACCCAGAACCCTACAATCCCAGAGCGAAGTGGAGAACCCTCCTCAAACAGTGCAACAGCCACAGGGATTGGGGCACCACCCCCAAATTCTACCCAACAGACACCCAACCTGCCCCATCCCCTGTCAGCCCCCCACTAAGTACCCACCTAGGGCACCCTCCCCCCACCCACCCCCCTCCCCCCACTCACCCCCCTTCTCCCCCTCACCCCTCTCCCCAGGACCTCCCTTCCCCCCCATCCCCCATGCCCTCCCTTCTCCCACATGCCTTCCCGTCTCTCCCACCCCCATGCCCTCCCTTTCCCCCCTCCCCCCTAAGCCCCCCACTCTCCCCCACCCCACCTAAGTCTTCCCCTCTCCCCCACTCCCCTAAACCCTCCCCTCTTCTTCACCCACCTCAGCCCTCCCTTTTCCCCCACGCCCCCCAAGCCCTCCACCCTTTTCTCTCCCCCCAAGCCCCCCCATCTCCCCTATCCCCCACAGCCTCTCCTCCCCCCATGCTTCCCCAACCCTCCCTCTCTTACCCACCCCCTGTACCCTCCCCCTCTTATCCACCCCCTGTACCCTCCCCCTCTTATCCACCCCCTGTACCCTCCCCCTCTCCCCCACCACCCCAAGCCCTCCCTCCTCCACCAATCCCCCCGTGCCAGGTCCCCCCAGCTCCCACTCACCCCAGATCCCAAAGGTCCCCCCCAGAAAAGAAGCAGAAGAGAGTCAGTTTCAGGGTGATGTACTCGAACATAGATGGGATCACAAGCAAGACAAGTGAACTAAGGGAAAGAGCACAAGAAGTTAACCCAGATGTAATCGGACTCACTGAAACAAAACTCTCTGGAATCATAACGAATGCCGTGTTTCCCCAGGAGTATACAGTAATAAGGAAAGAGAGGGAAGGTAGAGGAGGAGGCGGAGTGGCCCTACTCATGAGAAGGGAATGGAGTTTTAAGGAGATGGCCATCCCGGGCTGTGAGGAGTTCAGAGACTACATAGCAGGCACCATAACAATGGGAGGACCAAGAATAGTAGTAGCAGTAATATACAACCCTCCACCAAATGACAGGAGACCCAGTCAAGAGTATGAAAACAACAACAAGGCAGTTAACACTATAATTGAGAGGGCAGCCTCTGCTGCCTGTAGAAATAGATCCCACCTGCTCATCATGGGCGACTTCAATCACGGAAAGATTGACTGGGAGAACAAGGAACCGCATGGAGGCGAGGATACGTGGAGAGCCAAACTATTGGAGGTGGTGACAAGCAACTTTTTAACCCAGCATGTCGGAGAACCCACAAGGATGAGAGGCAATGACGAACCAGCGAGACTCGACCTAGTCTTCACTCTGAACGACTCCGACATAAGAGAAATCGGTTTTGAGGACCCAGTAGGAATGAGCGACCACAGTGTACTGGTGTTTGAGTACTTGATTGAAGAAGGGTTATTGAACTCGAGGAGGGATACCGAAACCAAAAGGTTAGCATACCGAAAGGGAAACTATGAGGGGATAAGAAAATTCCTAACAGATATAGCATGGGAAACAGAGCTCAGGGGAAAGACGGCCCAAGATATGATGGATTACATCACGCAGAAGTGCAAGGACGCAGCGAACAAGTTTGTCCCAGTCCAAAAGGAAAACAGAGAAATGAAGATGAGAAACCCATGGTTTAATCAAAGATGTAGGCTAGCTAAGCAGCAAAGTAAAAGGGCATGGAGAAACTATAGGAATAACAGGACACTGGAGAGCAGAGAAAGATACCAGAATGCCAGGAATGAATATGTCAGGATGAGAAGAGAGGCAGAAAGACAATACGAAAATGACATCGCAAGCAAGGCAAAGACTCAGCCTAAATTGTTGCATAGCCACATTAGGAGAAAAACAACAGTAAAGGAACAGGTTATGAGATTAAGGATAGGGGCGGAAGGATTCACTACAAATGACAAGGAAGTGTGTGAGGAATTGAATAAGAAATTCCAGGAGGTCTTCACCTTAGAACAAGGAGAAATTCCAGAGGTAAGTGAGGGAATAACTAACCAGGAACCACTGGAAGAGTTTGAGATTACCAGTGGGGAAGTAAGGAAGTGTTTACTAGAGTTGGACGTGACAAAGGCTATAGGCCCAGATGGAATCTCCCCTTGGGTTCTAAAGGAAGGAGCAAGAGAACTGAGCCTACCACTCTCCATAGTGTATAACAAATCACTGGCAACAGGGGAACTGCCAGATATTTGGAAAGCAGCTAACGTAGTCCCGATATACAAGAAAGGGGATAGACAGGAGGCACTGAACTACAGGCCAGTGTCCCTAACCTGCATACCATGCAAGCTGATGGAGAAGATTGTGCGAAAAAAACTAGTGGAGCATCTGGAGCGAAGGAACTTTGTAACACAGCATCAACATGGGTTCAGGGATGGCAGGTCCTGCCTCACAGGGTTACTTGAATTCTACGACCAGGCAACAAAAATAAGGCAAGAAAGAGAAGGGTGGGCAGACTGCATATTTTTGGATTGTCAGAAAGCCTTTGATACAGTGCCACACAAGAGGCTAGTGCGAAAGTTGGAGATGCAGGCTGGAGTGAGAGGGAAGGTACTCCGGTGGATAGAGGAATACCTAAGCAACAGGAGACAACGAGTCTGTGTGAGGGGTGAGGTCTCAGATTGGCGAGACGTCACAAGTGGAGTCCCGCAGGGGTCAGTCCTTGGACCTATACTGTTTCTGGTATATGTAAATGATCTCCCAGAGGGTATAGATTCGTTCCTCTCAATGTTTGCCGACGATGCAAAAATTATGAGGAGGATTGAAACAGAGGATGATAGTAGGAGGCTACAAGATGACCTGGATAGACTGAGTGAATGGTCCAACAAATGGCTGTTGAAGTTCAACCCGAGTAAATGCAAAGTAATGAAACTAGGAAGTGGAAACAGGAGGCCAGGCACAGGATACAGAATAGGAGATGAAGTACTTAATGAAACAGACAGAGAGAAAGATCTAGGAGTTGATATCACACCAAACCTGTCTCCTGAAGCCCACATAAAGAGAATAACGTCTGCGGCATATGCGAGGCTGGCTAACATCAGAACGGCGTTCAGGAACCTGTGTAAGGAATCATTCAGAATCTTGTACACCACATATGTAAGACCAATCCTGGAGTATGCGGCCCCAGCATGGAGCCCGTACCTTGTCAAGCACAAGACGAAGCTGGAAAAAGTCCAAAGGTATGCTACTAGACTAGTCCCAGAACTAAGAGGCATGAGTTATGAGGAAAGGCTGCGGGAAATGCACCTCACGACACTGGAAGACAGAAGAGTAAGGGGGGACATGATCACAACCTACAAAATCCTCAGGGGAATCGACCGGGTAAACAAGGATGAACTATTCAACACTGGTGGGACGCGAACAAGGGGACACAGGTGGAAGCTGAGTACCCAAATGAGCCACAGAGACGTTAGAAAGAACTTTTTCAGTGTCAGAGTAGTTAGTAAATGGAATGCATTAGGAAGTGATGTGGTGGAGGCTGACTCCATACACAGTTTCAAATGTAGATATGATAGAGCCCAATAGGCTCAGGAATCTGTACACCAGTTGATTGACGGTTGAGAGGCGGGACCAAAGAGCCAGAGCTCAACCCCCGCAAGCACAATTAGGTGAGTACAATTAGGTGAGTACACACACACACACACACACACACACACACACACACACACACACACACACACACACACGTCAGCCAACGTTGGCGACATTAATATTATTTCTCCCGAATTCTTAATTCTTTTCGTTTACAATTAATTATACTTTAAAAGTATTATGTTAGACTGAATTCAATTAAAGCTTAGATAGAACTAAGCAACTCTCTCCGAGGCAAAAGTACCTGACGTGAGTAGTCGAGTGAAGCGGAAATGAAATAGTTATGCCATAAACTTTATACACATAAAATATAATTTACTTTCTTGGAAACTTCCAGCCCAGCATTACAAACAGTAAAAAACTGTGTTATTTTATCAATAATAGAAAAAAGACATGCTACTAAGTGG